ATTGAATTGAAACTAGAAAGGCCAATATTTGCTTTGGAGCAAATACAGCGATGGGTTCACCACATTTTACGACATGGCAGGGAAAGAATGAGAAACACAAGGGAAAACAATGATTTGCATTGATATAACTATAATATGAAGTAAAATACAACTAAAACAACGGTTGGATAGCTATTCCCTACTTTATTGGTTAGGATTTTTAATTGCATAATGCAAACTGTTGATTTTCAAAATAAAAAACGTACCATGCCCCGCATTCCAATGCTGGAGCAGGAAAGCTTGAAATACCTACCAAAACACTTGAATACAGACATACTGTCAGTATGGAAATGCTCTGTGCAGGTGTTAATCAAGTTAAATCCCAACAGCCGATCAGCAAGAAATGCTCTGTGCAGGTGGAAATGCTCTGTGCAGGTGTTAATCAAGTTAAATCCCAACAACCAATCAGCAAGAAGAATAGAGGAAAGCTGCATGCCTATTGGTTGATGCCCTGCATTCCATTGTGATGACTCATGCCCAAACGTGGTAAACAAGGCACACTAACACAGTAATACATTTGCTATAACACAGCCAAAAAACTCAAATAAAACCATTCTAAAAGCCTGTATCACAATAATTTAAAAAACGCCTAGGGGTATTTGCCCACTGTACCTCCATACCAAATTTCAGGACCTTGGGCCCTAAAATGAAGAAGCTGAATCCATTTAAAAAATGGCAGGAGTAGAAGGAGGAGAAGAAGAAGAAGAAGAAACATCAGAAAAAGCAATATGGTTTCACCACCACCACGACCCATAATAAAACCCTACATCGTCATTTCTATAGCTTCAAACACAGCCGTATATTATGCTAATTTCTGTAATGTCCAAAAATGACCTACTTTCAGGGACAAGTACACAGCAACAAAACAAGACTCCAACCTCCACAAGCATGCATTTGATACACAATACATGTATGTACTACCCTACAAAGATTGAATTGAAATAAAATCCTACTTTGCCAGTTATAGAGCTTTAAAGTTAGCCAAAAACGATAATTTCAGCACATGTCCAAAATATGGCCTACTTTCAGAGACAAGTACACAGCATCGAAACAAAACGCCAACCTCCACAAGCATTCAGTTGATACACAATACATGTATGTACTACCCTACAAATATTGAATTGAAATAAAATCCTACTTTGCCAGTTATAGAGCTTTAAAGTTAGCCAAAAACGATAATTTCAGCACATGTCCAATATATGGCCTACTTTCAGAGACAAGTACACAGCAACGAAACAAGACTCCAACCTCAACAAGAATTCATTCCATACCCAATACATGTATGTAATACCCTACAAATATTGAGTTCCAAGAATACTCCACTTTGTCAGTTATAGGGCCTGGAAGACAGCCGAAAATGTTAATTTTACCACATGTCCAAAATATGGCCCACTTTCAGGGACAAGTACACAGCAACAAAACAAGACTCCAAACTCCACAAGCATGCATTTGATAGACAATCAATAGGGTTACATATTGTTCAAAGCATTATTAGATTTCTGCTTTCATATTGTATATATTGCATCTTAAATATGACAAAATTTGGTATTTTTCTTGAAGTGTAAAATATGACCTACTTCAGAGGACAACCACGTGAGAACCAAACAATTGGCCAAACTTTGCAAACATGCATTTTATAGCACATATGATTATGTATCTGTGATTTCAATATGAAAGAAAAAAAATCACCATCTTTGGAGTTACAGCGTTTCAAAAATGGGCAGAAATAGGGATATTTCACAAGCCAAAAACACTGTATTGTCTTAACGATGCCCAGGCCCTTTAAACGGACCTCTGGAAAAGTTTAAAGCTATTTTAGAAAAGCAGATAAGTTGGTCATTTCAGCACAGTTTTTGTCTTTCCGAGATATTCAAGCATTTGTTTGTAATCGCGTCCTAAACTTTGGTAATTTTCATGTTTTTGACATGCCCAAATCAGGGAAAATGGCCCCAAAACATGTTTGGCCCGTTACCATGGCAACGATCGGTGTGGAGCAGAAAGAAAGCTATTTTGAGGGGTTGTGGGCTAGGTACTATCACTGTGCAAAATTTGAGCCAAATCGATTTTTTGACCCCTGCCACCATTGTTTGATCCTTACAGACATTTGCTCTTAAAAATTTACAGACAGTTACTAAAATTCACATAATCATAAAAACATGTTCTGTTTATGGAACATAATGTTTCGTCCTTGAAAACATTACTAGTTAAGCTAGTGGCTTAAATGCGTATATACGTAAAAAATAAGGACGTTGTATGAATATCTACATGTTGTCAGGAGCGGTAATTAATTCAATGAGCTAATCACGTATTCAAAAGGTGTACTCGGTATGAGATCCGACAGTTTTTGTATCTGTTCGTTGGACAAAGTGGAATGGCCAATGTCTAGTTTCTCGGATCTGCGTGGCGTATTGAACATCCGGTCATGTGTTGTCTGGATGGAGGGAGTCAGTCACTAAAGTCTGATCAAAGTCTTGCTGTTGGGCGTTGTTTAGGGATGAGTGCCACGCCGGTGCAGCGTACTCGAGCTTAGAGTGTAGACTGTGTAGACTGACTTGAGGTAGATGACAGATATGCCAGAACGTTTGAGGCGACGGAGTGCGTAGATACGGTTTCTTATTGGCCGATGTTAACATGATGCTGATTTGTAGGTCCCATTGCACAGATAGGCCTAGAATATTGGTGATTCGATAAATTTTCGTTCAGAGCAAGAAAAATTAGGGGACAAAACACCACCTTCTTGGTTGGTTTGGTTTGGTTTGGTTTAGGATAAAAATAGTGTGACATTCACACTATTCTCCCTGCAGTCCTAGTGATGATGTTGTAACGTTTTAATTAAATTATCTGGATCATTCCAGGAACTGGACACGTGGTTGACTAGAAATCATCTGCCGCCAACCGCTTTGGTAGCTGTGGATTTAAGCTACTATCTTTGGACTATCCTGGATATCGATAACGTACATGAATCTGCTGTATTAGAATTACATGGTATACATAGTTGAACTATCCAGTCGGTCAAGAACTTTGGCATGTCTGCAAACAGGGTTATAATGAGGGTTGCTTTATTGGCATCAAGCACTGTAAGTTTGTACGGCATGCGCGCAAGAGCGATTTTTTATTGTTCACACAGTAGTAGTATATGATGGAAAGGATCGGTCGTATTTGCCCGCTATGCACTGGGTGTGTTTTGCGGGCACACCCATGCTTCCATCTCGAGAGATGATGGTGGCACTCTTGGCACCTCAACAAGAGGAATACAAGAAAGCCTATTGGATGTTTTTCTGTGTATACGTAGGTAAACAGTAAATGTCCGTCTGAAAACAGTCCAAAGGTCCCGAATTATACAATTTAAAGGGGGGTATACCAAAGATTATAATTAACTGTTGTTTGTAGATATATAAAGCATGTCTATTATATATAGACATGACATACAGTTCTTTATAACCTTTTTTGCTTAAAAACTGCTTGCATTCTTTACCCATGTGTTCTTTTGCAGCATCAGTACAGATGTAAGGTCTTAAACGCTGAGGTTAACAAATTTCCATACCTCTTTACAGGTTACGGCCTACTATCACAGATTGGTGCTGACAAGTTCAAACAGGTTCTAAACCTTGGATCAGGAAACTCTATGGTTTTTGTAATTGACGTGTCGGGCAGCATGTCGGATGACGTTGCGGCAGTTGGTCAAGAATCGATTCAGATAGTACAACGCACCTTGGGCACAGCTACTGCACCTTACAACTATATCCTGTCTACTTTCAACGATCCGGGTACGTCATATCCATCTATAAATTGTTATAAACCTTGTGGTTGCTTCCCCTTCAATAGGGCGTATTCAGTCACGTCAGCAACTTGTATATAATTTGAGCTGGCGTACAAAGGAACCAGGCTGAGCTGAGCGAGCCCTATAAGTTGAAGAAACAGAGCAACCATTAAAACGATTTATTGGACACTTGTAACGTTACACTGGTTATCTGTGTCTAACAGAAACCTTAACCAACCATATAGCCGCGGCATTTCAATCAATGGTTGCAGCTCCCCACGGATCTTTCCCGATCACATCGTAGTTGTCAACTAAATCTTTCTACTTAATATCCAGAAACTACGTCGTTGTAGGACTCGAGACACTGTAAGCACTGAGAGTCGTTTCAAGAACGTGTATACACGTAAAGAGACAAAATCAATGGACTTCGTTTTTGATGTAACTCAACATGGCGGCGCACGGGGGGCAAGGGTGATGACGTCACTTGAATACGCCCTATTGGATAAACGACTAAGCTAAATAGAGTTCCTCGACCTTCGGAAAGTGAGCTCTAAATGCCATTGTTTATGCAAATAAAAACGTAATTTGCAATAATTTGATCATATCCCCCATCCGGTGATAGTCTCATAGTATCAAAAGAGCCTATTCAGGCATTTCCGCATAAATTATGCTAATAAATTCCTGATATGAATACGTTACCATGATGTTCATCTTCACTAAACTTCCAAACCCAACAATGATTTTAAGGTCTTTCGATGAGGATATGTGTATTTTTTTTTTACTCTTCTACATGTATATCATATAGCTACCTTATGCAACTACAATTACTTATGACTAACTACGAATATTTTATATACTACTAGCAAAAGCAAACAGTTACGTAGCAACTGGATAGATTTTTGAAGATTTTGTTATCTTTTGTATTTCATTATCTGGAAGTATAACAATCATATGACAATTTTTTTTTTTTACTTCAGAGGACCTTGGGCAAGTACGTACAACAAAAGATCCAGACGTGATGATTACCTGGCTAAACGAGCTAAGAGTCGACGGTGGAGGAGACTGTCCCGAGTACTGTTTTTCTGGAATTGAACAGGCCCTTCTCATCTGTTTGCCAGAGTCGCCGCTGTTTATCTTCACAGACGCAGATCCAAAAGATCCAGAAAAGTACGGCATTATAACGGCACTGATGGAAGAAAAGCAAGCTAGGCTCAACTTTCTGTTGACAGGCTCATGCACCAGTCGCGACAAACTAGATGGACAGGAACAAGGTTACTATGAAGGTAATTTACTCTGTGTGCTTATTTTCTTTCGCCTGATTAAAAGATCTTATAACTAGAAAGGACGCCATTAGCTCACCAGCAAATACAGCATCTTACACTCCACCCCCTCCCAAAAATATGGACTGTTCGAAAATAACACCTGTACATATTAAGTATACATAGAACAAAGTGAATCATTGGCAAGTCATCCCAGTCTAAAAATGAAGCCTTCCCTTTTTATAATCTACCCAGTCAAAAATTAGATTTTACAAATAAATCCCCTATTTGGGAACTGACTCTTCATAGGCCACATAGGTTACAAGACCATAAGATTATGGTATATGAAACTCGGCAGACCACAACCACTTTGTATCCCCACAGCTACCTCCCATACTGCCCATAGACGAAGCAACAGAAACTGGTACGAACAACTCGCCGAGCAGTCCGGTGGATCTGTCTATGAAGGTGACAAAGAGAACATCACCGAGCTGACGGGTGTCATCAGCGTTACCCTGTCCAACTCAGCTCCTGTGACCCTCTACAAGGCCAGTCTGCCAGCGGGAAGCGGCAGGGTTGTGCCGGTACAGGTAGACAGTGCTCTCCTGGAGCTGGCCATCTCTTTAGTAGCTGCAAACAGCGCACCAGACGTTGTAATAGAAACTCCTGATGGTAAGTTTAATTTCTTCTATATATGCATGATGTTGTTTGAACTATTTGTGTCACTTAATACAATTGGAAATTGTAAACATTATTTAGTACAAAGGATAAAACGATAACATTGCTTTACGTTAGTACGTTACACATGGATTTTTACATAGCACCGGAAATCAATGTGATTACTGTGTGCTGGGATGCAAAAAGGAATCAAAATTCAAATACAGTAGATTTTTACCCATGGTTCCGTTCCCTAGCCTCCTCTTGTTTAATTATCTAAAACTCACTACCAAAGGACGTCAGGGCAGGTCCTAACTCGACCTCCATGAAAAGCAGCTTGAATGGCCGAATGGAGTAAATTAGAGGCTAAATAAAGGCAGCAACAAACATGAATTAACGCTATCGTTTCGTTTATTCCACAACAGACTGTTTCAAACAATGTAGAAAATAATTAGAATTGGGATATTGTCAAATTTGACATTTTGTCGTTGAATATAATAGGTACGCTCCAGGCATTTGGGACACCGTTGGCCGAAATTGCTGTTGACGTAGGAGCAAACAGAGTGTACCAAATCAAAACTCCGTCTCCAGGCACTTGGCGACTACGGCTTAGAGGTACTTTGAGAATTTAACAATATATATTACCAAGACGAAAACAACAGCATCATGGCAAAACAAATACCCTGAAACGTTGTCCAGAAAACTGGAGATTATTTATATTGTGTGTAGAATAGTTAACTTTGCCATATGCTCTGTTTATTTCCTAAGTACGAACGGATCAACAGATTTGACAAAGACGTGAAAAAATATTGCATTTATTACTTTAAACACAATGTGTTAAGTACTGTATTACCTTGATTCTATTCCAATTGTGGTTCATGTGGTTACAGATTCACAGCATTACATGTTGGAGGTTACGGGAAAGAGCATTTTGGACTTCTCGTACCAGTTTATGAGGACAACAACCAATGGCATCTTATTGCCCATTGATGGAAGACCTGTTGCAGGTAATTCAACGCTCGCTGAATTACTCATTCATACACCAACCCACTCAATCACTTACTCACTCCATCATTCATTCACTCATTTATTCGCTCACAGGTAATGGTGTTAGTAGAATAAAATACAATCGTACACGTTACACTACCTAAGATATGGTAAAAGTAAGGAGGCAATGAGTGAGTTCATTTTCCAGCTGCCAAAAGTGGGAAAAGAAAAAAATACAACCATCTCACTCTGCATCTGCATAACCGCGTTTCGGTGTAACACAACAGCTTCGCAAACACGCGGTCCGTCGACAGCTGGCCATATTAGACCAAACGACCTGTTACACACAACCTCTGCATACTTTTTGATCATCTCAACACTTGGATGATAACTATCTAATAATGATACTAAATTGAAGGCACGATTATTTCTTGTTCTTTTCTGAGATGGTGATACTTATTATATCTAGTTGGCAAGTCCACCAGTTTCTTAGTAATTTTGTACTGCCCGTATAGAGAGTAATAATTACACACCATCTGTTTAACAGGGGTAAATACAACTGTCATTGTGGACGTTCTCGGCTCAGAGAATGTCCAGCAGCTGACCAGAATTTCACTACTAAACGAGGCAGGCGACGGACTGGTGTCGTCTCCAATGACATCCGTGGGTGGCCTTCTTGGGGCCAAGTATTCTGCAGTTGTTGTCATGCCAACAGAGGTAAATGTCATTCAATTTTAAGCTGTTATTTTGTCTGGTTCTATATAGTACCATTATAATAGAACAGTGACAATGATAGGGGAATCTAGAATTACGATAGTCATGGCAGAACACAACAATTGTCATTGTGTCATAAATTCACTCTTTCTTTTTCCCCAGAAATTTAGGGTGAAGATTGAAGGCAGCGATGTAAACAACACCCTATTTCAGCGTGTTCAGCCTACTGTCATCCAGCCGCAAAGTTTTGATTTGGCTTTGGTGGGCGAAAAAGGTACTGTCATTTTCCTAAGTTATACGCTGATGATCTAGGCCGCGGATATTGTGATGCAACATGCTGAGACGATTGTGAAGAACTTTCAACATTTTTGTTGCCCCTTTACTTCCCTTAGGAGGCAAAGGCAACTTGCTTATAAGGTTAAGGTTGCATAACAGACTTGTGCAACCTCATTTATCAGGTCAAGATGAGCGTTTACTCAACTTTGAGGAGGCAGTCAGTAGGCCAGTTCTTGTTTATTCGGTGCTGGGTAGTCTTCGAGTACTCAAAAACGTATATTTGTACCAGGCACGGTTCTGGATACGTGGACTATCTAGAAATGGCCATGAAAAATAACATACGAAGTAATCTTCAGGTGTGACCTATTCCATGTTACTGTATTTTTAGGTTAAGATAAAAAAATATATCATTAACAGTTCTCCATTATGTGTCACATCTCCATTCCAGAGCCACTCTTTGCTGGAAGCACTGCGGACGTGCATTTTCTGCTTGTGAACCACGGAGCCCGAAGTACGTTTTCTCTAGCAGCAACAGACGACGCATCGATGGTCCAGTCCGTATCACCTACGTCAATCACACTACAGGAGAATGCCAACACGACCGGGTACATCAGATTTTCAGCTTCAATCGCGGTAGCTGGTACAACAAGGTATAGATATTTAACCATGCAGGTCTTTTATCAAGCAAACCACCACAACAACACAACAACATACTACATGTATTATAGGAAAAGAGTGTTGACGGTATATTGCTAACAAATTATATGTGCACCGTTTTCATAAAAATTTATACGATACTGGTGTTAGCATATAACTTATCTAAAAGCTGTTATTAGAACCGCACCGAGGGTTCCGATAAGTACATTACTATTTATCATTCATCATATTGGCTTTAAAATGTTTGAACTAATTAAGAACATTGACATGGAACTTTCACATTTTCTATTATGATGTGATCTTCCCCAGAATGTCAGACAAACTTGTCTGCCAGGGCTAGGCGGATACCCAGAGTGTTGTGAATCGGTCTTCCTAAGCGGTCTGGGCATGGTCGATGGTTTTATTTAACCTTGTGGGACCATTGTACACTACTAGTAATGACACTGGTGATCTTATGGCTTCCTAAACTATATGAAATGGGCACTTCTGCTTAATCAACGTCTTCTGGCTATATGGATATCTCTTATTAGCCAGCGGTCATATCAACAAGGAAATGAGTGCGTTGGTTGTGTATAACAACTTTAAATGAACCAACGTTTTTTTTTTTCATATCTTTACTTTCAGTACCACAACGTTAACTGTGACAGGACCAGGAGGCTCGTCCAACTCACTGGTAGTCAGAGTAACGGTACAACCTCAAATTGTAGTGGTAAGTGTGATTTAGTATTTTTCATTTAATGGCTATACATTTAAACGGTGCATGTTTGAGTTTAATGGTCTTGTATCAAATTTATCAAATTCTTATATATTGTGTGAAACATACTTAGCAGACTCTGCGCAAACAAAAAATGACGTAATTTTAACACATAAAAACGACTTTCGAGTATGGGTAAGTCCAATTGTTTATGTTGGACGCTTTGGACTCTAGCTACACTCTAGCTGGAAATTTACTTACTGTATAGCCATACAACTATAGAGTATATGGGGCCATGATGTTAGCCAATATATGTTAGGCAATAGCCAACATCTCATTGTATGAATGGTCCATATCTACCAACTCTTGAATATGCTTTAAAACCAATTTTGTTCTTTTATATGTTCTTTCATTTGACAAGAAGGATGACCTGTATTTGCTAGTTGTATTTTCTAATCATCACCTTTCAAGCTAAAATTCTTATCTAGTTTTAGTTTACTAAAAGTATTTTCTTATGGTTTCATGGCCATGTCATTTTTTAGCCTGTGGACAACGTCAAGCCAACATGTACACAAGTATCGGCTACTGGTAGCTGCACCCTTGAACAACAACATCCATCTACCTGTGGCAGCCATCATTGGTCCATAGAGGTCCACGTTAGGGACGAAGAATCTGGTGTTTACAGCCTCATTGCCTCACCCGAGGGGAGCGGGATTACCTTTACCCACTCTCCGTTCAGTCCAGGAACTGTTGGGACGAGCATCGCAGCTACATACAGGTCTGCAGCTATTAACAGCAAAGTATTTTCAATATCCTGAAACTTTTAAACTTAATTTAAAACTGTTTGTTTGAGCCTTTTTTTTATTTCTTCAATACTCAAACCTCCATGTTGGCCGCCTTTCACTGACTTCCGAACGGAGACTTTAGAGTCATAAAAATCTTGAACAACTTGAAGATATGGGCTACATGGTTTAGGTGTTACAAGCTCCATAAATCCATAAAGCAAAATATGTTTGAGTACTGAAACAATATCCAGAGCTTTCCTTGCTAACTGGTTATTTACTTGCTCCACCACAATGATATTTCAAATAATAAAGTGCCATTTTAAAGATGGTCTTTTGACGTTTTCTCAACATAGTTCCAACTGCTGCAAACCAAGAGGAACCATTACTGTCGCAGACAAGCAGGGGAACGTTGCCCAGTGTACGGTGGACTACTACATCCCAACAACAGCCCCTCCACCAACGACATTCCCAGCAACGACTACCGCTCTCCCATCTAAAACATCAACGACGACATCTACCCCTGTGACACCACCACCACCATCTACACCCGTGACAACCACAACAATGACGACATCTACCCCCGTGACTCCCACAACAACGACATCTACCCCGATGACACCTACAACAACGACGACATCTACCCCGATGACACCCACAACAACGACGACATCTACCCCGATGACACCTACAACAACGACGACATCTACCCCGATGACACCTACAACAACGACGACATCTACACCCATGGCACCGGCAACAACGGTTCCTCCTCTAACCACGACAGAAACCATACCTGCCGTTATAGAAGGGGATTCACCGGTAACGTACTTTTCACATTTCCAACATAGGTCCTATCCTCATACATGAGAATACAGTCAGCTTTCGGACCGTAGGAGTACAAATATGAAAAATACACACACGCACATTCTTGTAACTTCAAGTCTATTCGGAAAACAACAACAAAAATGCATGTTAACGTAATTGTGAATCTAACCTTGTTCCTTCAAAATTATATCATCCTGGCCATTTGCATATTCTATAAAAATATTTCTCTTCACTTTACAGGATAACGAGTACTTGGGAACATCTCAGGTTGCACTTTTGGTGTCTGCCGCAGTAGTAGGTGTGGGATTATTGACTGGGCTCGGTCTCACCCTTTATTGTATGAAAAAGCCCACTATTAAACCCTGTGCGGGTCCTTCGCTCTGATATGTTAAGATCTGGTGAGAACTGGCCCTGGCATAGCAACAACGTCCACTGCATTTGTTTCCGGCTAGTTTCACACTTTGACTTTAAAAGTACATGTACTGCATTAGGGATGTGAATTTAAATAATTATCTGTACTTGTACTTTGTGTGTAATTTGTATATTTGCCATGTAAGATTGGCTCCTTAAGTGGCTAAAGGCCATCGCATGAAACTGAAACTGATGTTATGACTTGTCTACGTATACAGAGCTTGTATGGTTGCCACAGGCCACTAGAAAGGTATTCGGAGGCTACGTTTTATGTGTGTGATTTAGTTAGGAAAAGGCAAGGAGATTCTATCTTAGAAAAATTGACAGGAAAAATTATAAAGCTATTATTATGGCATTGTTCACGCCATACAAGTGATTTAAGCGCGGCACCCAATTAAAATGTATCTTGTCGAAATGCCCAAACACGAAGAACCCATAATGGGAAATAGTGTGTTCCTTTCGCCCGCAAGGCCCGATGAATGTAACGATAGACGTTTGTACTTTGTACTGTGTTGATGTATAATAGTGACTATCCACAACGTGCATATGTGATATCTTTTGTCATCTCTTAATTTTAGTTATCAAGAAAAGTGGACCACCCAAAAATGCGCAGACTTTAGTAAAAATCCATAAATAAGCAGAGAAAGGTCACAAAACACAAACTTAACACGGGTTGATTTGCTAGGACGTGTACTCCACCCTTTTACACAAATGAAGGAATTCAAAAGTTGTAAAGCTGTTAACACGATAACTTGAATAGGCACGGGTAGATTAGTTTGGGGCCCCCTAGCAGCTTGTCATCAAACCGTATGTTAAATGTTAAATAAAAACCTTCTCACTCAAGAACCGGTTGACGAATCTTGTTTTATTAATATATATATGCAGCTTGAGGGGTGCTTGACATTAGATGACATTTATGCAAATGAGTGTAATATAGAAATTCTACGAGCCTGCTGCATTCCATGATAGGACTATTTGACGTTCTGAATACGTAATTGAGAACGAAAGGAACATCGGCATATGTTAGATATGCAAATGAAGGTCCAATGCTACAATTTCATACTTGCAGCATTTGAACGGAAAGTGTTACTGGTTCACTGTGCACTGAAGCTACGTGTCACTTGTTCACTGTGCACTGAAGCTAGGTGTTATTGGTTCACTGTGCACTGAAGCTACGTGTCACTTGTTCACTGTGTACTGAAGCTAGGTGTTACTGGTTCACTGTGCACTGAAGCTAGGTGCTACTGGTTCACTGTACACTGACGCTAGGTGTTACTGGTTCACTGTGTACTGAAGCTAGGTGTTACTGGTTCGCTGTGCACTGACGCTAGGTGTTACTGGTTCACAGTGCACTGACGCTAGGTGTTACTGGTTCACTGTACACTGACGCTAGGTGTTACTGGTTCACTGTGTACTGAAGCTAGGTGTTACTGGTTCGCTGTGCACTGACGCTAGGTGTTACTGGTTCACTGTGCACTGAAGCTAGGTGTTACTAGCACGTCGGCAGAACGTACTGCGCCTGCGCAGAACCCTATAGTTTCACGCTTTCCGGTGGATTTTTGGCCAACGTTGCATCAGAATTTTGCCTGTTGCAGAGGATATCTTTTCCGACATAACATTTGGAAACTACAGACGAGATGTTAACCTTATATGCGCGAATACGACCTTATATAAGGCGATCTACCGAAGTGCTATGTATAATACATTACAGATTCCGCGCAGGTGCAGTACGTTCTGCCAACGTGCTGGTGTTACTGGTTCACTACATTGAGGCTAGGTGTTACTACTGTTACTGGTTCACTGTGCACTGCCGCAAAGCGTTACTTATTCACTGTGCACTGAAGCTAGGTGCTACTACACTGGTTCACTGTGCACTAAAGCTAGGTGTGACTGGTTCACTATGCACTAAAGCTAGGTGTTACTGGTTCACTGTGCACTAAAGCTATGTGTTACCGGTTCACTGTGCACTAAAGCTAGGTGTTACTGGTTCACTGTGCACTAAAGCTAGGTGTTACCGCTTCACTGTGCACAAAAGCTAGGTGTTACTGGTTCACTGTGCACTAAAGCTAGGTGTTACTGGTTCACTGTGCACTAAAGCTAGGTGTTACTGGTTCACTGTGCACTAAAGCTAGGTGTTACTGGTTCACTGTGCACTAAAGCTAGGTGTTACTGGTTCACTGTGCACTAAAGCTAGGTGTTACTGGTTCACTGTGCACTAAAGCTAGGTGTTAGTGGTTCACTGTACACTAAAGCTTACATGTACATTAGCCACCCTCCAGTGCTTTGGGGGCTTCCTCCATAGCCTGACCACATATTTCATCAACGTACCATTTTCGAATAAAATGGAGGCGGGCATCTTCCTCCTCGTTCAGTCTCTGTGCCACGTACGAAATCTTCCCCAGTCCTTCCAAACTCTTGCCGGCCAACTCGGGCAGACTGTAGTATGTGGCGTCTGGGACGTTTGCAGCCATGTTCTTGATCACAACGTTGTCTAACACGCGTACGTGCGGCGCGACTACGGACAGTTTGGCGCGAAGACCGTTAGCATACGTCAGCAAGTCTGCCGAGGATGCCGTCAGCTCTGCGTACAGGGTATTGAGAAATGGCGGATATCTGCTCCATGCAGGGCGGGTCCATCTCGGCAGGCGGCGCCACTGCCTGTGCATTCTTGGTGTTACCGACGGATGCGGAAGTAGCCTCTCCTTCTGTAATCTTTCTTCGTAGGTTCAATGTAAATTAAAGAACTTCTCGGCGAGATCGCTAGTGATTAGACCCCCCTGGGAGGCGAGATCGCTACTGGAGACCCATCTTAGCTTAGTTATTAGTTAATATATAACGGTGGTCACCTTTAGTTAATAGTAACTATACACGGTAGGTGCACGGCGGTAGAGTCAGTACTGACAGAAACAGAGCAGTCAGTCACGCGTTTATAAAGGGACGGATTGGGTGGATAAAGCCAGCCTGGAGTCCTGCCTTGTTAGCTTTGGTCCGCTTCTCAAGATCTGCTGATTGCTGATTTTGGGGAGCGGGGTGGGGAGAAAAGAGTGCCGATTTGCATAGGCGAAATACTTAACTAGAGTTCGTAAAACACATTCCTTCGTGGGGCACGTTTTTTTTAATTTTGATGTTACTTGGTGTAATCTTTAAAATTGTTATGTTCAACAAAACAATTATTTTCTGGAGGCGTTGGTCTGGAACTGAACCTAAACCTCTGGACTTGAATCAGGACCTAAACCTAAATGTGACTTTAGGTACACACTACCACTTCTGGAGTGGAGAGCCCCTTTAAGGGAAACAAAAAACTACGAACAGTTGATAAAACAGATTTTCTGTGGTGCGTCAATGTTAAAATAAAAGGTATAGGTGAGATAAGGTGTCCTTGGTCCTTGACCTGCAGTACTGTAATAGTGAACTGTACAGTTGAATAGGAGTCTTTTTGAACTTTGAACGTT